GCTGATATTTTAACGAAAAATCTCCCTAAAGCGAAGCATGTTCATTTTACAAAGCTGTTAAATTTGATTTGAAAATTTTTGTAAAACATGTTTGCATTGAGGAAGGGTGTTGAAAATCAATACAAACATAAGTACCAATGCACGCATGTTAATATAAGCAGATAATAATCTTATGTTATCTACAAGTTATCTGTCACTGTTGCATACGAATGTAAGCATAAAGAATATGTATAGCAAAAGTGTCAGTCTCCAATAAAACTCTAAAGCGAACAGACGCACGGCGGTCCGCGACTATTGTCTTTTACTTTACTCCTACTGAGCCCTTCCCTTTTCAGCGAATATATAATCTATTCAATATATACTATATTATACTACTATTGCACAACATTCATAAATCTAACATGTACTGCTTATCACATAGTAATCATATATTGCACACTGTATCATTTAAATTTAACTACATTTATACTATACTATTATGCAACTATGTACAACACTCACAAATTTAACCTACCATTTGGTGCCCCCAAGAGGGAAGGGGTACCTAATCATCACTGCTTCGGATTCTCCCCGCATTCCCTCCACTCTTTTAAAAGGGAAGGATTAAGACAAATTTAAATGTCGCTGCCTCCTATCACTGCACACTCTTGGCTGAAATTGGGATTAGTATTTAATTTTAGATTAAGTTTGTTGTACCCATTTCTCGGCCTTGTGCGCCATAATAAACGAAAAAAAAAGTCAAAAAAAAAAAACGAATTCGAGCGGATCACTTTAATTTTATTTTACAAAACGCCGATCCGTCCAAAAAAGGTGGTTTTAACCTGTGGCGCGCCACTAAACACCTTAAAACACAGCCTCATATGGTCGCTCCTATTAAGGATGCCGCTGGCAATTGGTGCACTGCGCCCTTGGAAGTTGCCGAGGCTTTTGCTAACGAATTGGAAGCTCGCTTCACTCCATTAGATTTTGCCTCTAGTGCGCAAACAGAACATGTATTAAATACAATCGATGATAACTCTGCTGTAACTGCATCACCCGTTCCCATCCGTCATGTCAGTCCGTCTGAATTAACAAATCACATAGCAAGTTTAAAGATCAAAAAAGCCCCCGGCTTAGATAATATTACTAACCAAATTTTACGTTGCCTGCCTCAAAGGGCTATCATGTTTTTAGTTAAACTCTTTAACGTCATGCTGAGGCTGCGATATTTTCCATCATGCTGGAAATGCGCAGCTGTTACCATGATACCCAAGTCTGGTCGTTCCCTAAGTCAATTAAAAGACTATAGACCTATTAGTTTACTACCCGCTCTTTCCAAACTATTCGAAATTGTCATGTCCGTCCGATTATACGATATTCTTGATTTTAGTAATACTATACCTGATCACCAGTTTGGCTTCCGTAAGGAGCATAGTACTATCCAGCAAGTACATCGCATTGTGAATCATGTTCATTGTACTTTTGACCGTTACCAATATACCTCGGCTGTTTTTCTTGATATTGAACAGGCATTCGATCGTGTGTGGCATAACGGCCTTCTATTTAAACTAAAAGCGATATTGCCCCAATCATTATACGAGCTTTTCGTTTCCTATTTATCAAATCGCTCCTTCTGTGTTAAAGAGAGGGGTAGCTTTTCATCTGTACGTCAAATTCGAGCCGGTGTCCCGCAGGGAAGCATCCTCGCACCTACCCTCTATAATGTCTTTGTTAGTGACATGCCAACTCCGCAACTTCCTAGACTTTGTCGTAGTAGATCACTCATTGCCACATATGCGGATGATACTGCAATATTATTCAGCGACGCTAATGCTTCTGTATGCGTCAGTCTAATGAATAATTTCCTCGTCACCTTTTCCAACTGGGCAAGATCTTGGAATATCAAGATAAACTGTAGGAAATCATCCCACATGCACTTTACATGGCGGAATCTCCGTATGTCCGACGTAAGATTAGATAATGTAGTCATACCATTGAAATCATCAGTCGTATATCTGGGCTTAAAACTAGATAGAAAACTATTATGGAACAGTCATATTGGTACTATTAGATCGTCACTTATAACTAAAGTACGTAAATATAATTGGCTTCTAAACTCACGTTCTCGCCTCAGCATTCGAAATAAATTGCTTATTTATAATCAGATTATTGCGCCATCATACAAATATGGAATTGAACTATGGGGCTGTGCCGCAGATGTTCATATTAGAAAAATTCAAATTATACAAAATTCTACTTTACGTCGCTGTACAAACGCTACTCCATTCGTGAGAAACTCCGATATTCACAATGCTTTTAACATTGCTACGGTTTGGGATCAAATTAATCTCCATGCGAGCAGATATAAGGAAAAAATTCGTACGCATGAAAATGTCCTCGTTCGGGGATTACTTTCTTTAGCACCTGGTAATGGTCCACCAAATCGCTATCGACCTAAGAATTTATCAGACAGAGTCCCTCCACCCAATGTTTTCCAATAAATTCTCTATATCAGTCATTTCCTATTATATTTATACTCTTATTATGCATTAAGCATACATATATGGTATAATTACATCTATACGTTTATTTAATTACATGAAATTTTATAATTTCATTTTTCTACACTTTCGGTGTATAAATCTGATAATACTTTCTTATTATTTTTCATAGTTACTTTCATCACAATTAATATATTATACTTTACTTATCTGTCCACCTGACCACTACTAAAACTAAACAGCCACTACATAAAGTAGGCTATTCTTAGTAGTATACATGCTGCACTGCAATACTGCGCTCAATGGGTTCTGCATACGTACTACACACACATCTTTACATTACGCATACGAAGCACTTTTCTGATATACACGCCTTAGAGCTTTTAACATATGTTTGCTTTATTATTCACACTGCGTATATGAGGCGCATTACTGACCTATCCCACTTTTCTAGCTTCAATTCACGCTCGCCTAGGTCATTCACCTATTTACACGCTTGCTGGAACTCTTATACTAAAATGCTCTCCGTTTATTCTCTCACGAGTGTCTTATTTCTGTCTCCCTTATTTAAAGTACTGTCGTTCTTTTCACACGCTTACAAGTCAGAGCTTTCATTTCCCCTTTTTTCATCGCGGGCAACTTTTTATTGTAATATTTTTATTGCAACTCTCTGCAGCTACTAAATAAATTATACAAATACAACTCTAATTAATTAATTTTTTCATCTCATGTAGTATTTCCTTTATCAACTCGATTTTTTCTACATCTAAAGTAAACTCAGAATTTTTCAAATTTACCGCCAACCTTCTTCTTCGCTCTGAAATACGGTGTGTTGACATTCTTTTCGCTCCTATGTTCTTACGCATTGTCTACGTTGTTCTGTCTCGTGTGGAGTGCCGGTGTATACCACGGCAACACTACATCAGTAATTTAAATTCTGATAAACTTTGTATACTTATACGCCGAATTATTGTGGATTAGATTCGCCGACTGCATGGTAACTGTGCACATCATGTCTCAGTCGCGAACTTGTCCAACAATTATTTTGTATTTATTACAGAACTTCGATTTTGCCAGTATGTTTTTTCCCTATCTTAAACTTCTGTCGCCTGATCTTGTCTGCTGGCCAGTTTGGTTCTGTGCGGCATGTATTTGTATAAAAATTTGTTATGTTACCTACATTTTAGTATGTTTAACATAACATTGTTAAACTTCCTATAGTCAATTGAGCAACCTGCAATCCTTGATTATTTAATTTTATTATTCATACCAAAATTATTTACCTTGCATCTAAATTTCACTAAATCACATAGTATGCTTCGAAAAATTTCTTTTCATAGCCTTGTACTATGTCTTCGATTCATGTTGCTCCTTGATCTAATGGAGGTTTTTCGTGCTTGGAGGGACCCAGACCCGTGTATGGTGTGAATTTTTTACTCTATACAGTTGGATTCTGGGCCCTTCTTCGCCCCTCTACCATCTATGGGCGTTTATGCCGACTGGTGCTCTGATATGCTGCCTCGAGCAGCGATATAAATGAGCGCTTCTTGGCCATGGTCGCTCAAAACTCTTCTATTTCCTGGGTCTATAATTCTTCTTTATCACTATGAATAACCTATATACTCTCTTTTCTTTATCTATTCTTTATAATATTTTTCTCTTTTTGTCAAAGAGTAACCTATCAGTATGAGCGAAGTGTTTTAAGCCCCGCTCTAATAAATTAATTCTGCTCAATTTGAGTGTGTCTTTCGAGCTTTATGTTAATGAGCTTTATTTTTAACGGCAGTTTTCCACTGGTACACCCAGAATCCAGTTTTAATAGCCTATGTTTTCTGTCTCAACCCTCAGTCGGGTTATTCATACTAGACACGAATGTGCTTTTCGCTGCGCTTAAACAAATTTTTATAATCTCAATTAAAGAAAATCTTAACAGAAAGTACTCTGTCGTATTGCTTCTATAGTGCCGTGTTTTCTTCTCCAAGTGTCCTTGCGCGCCTGGTGTCATCCTGTTGCTGTGGGGGCCGTGTCTCCTGTTTGGTCGCGGCGGCTGGAGGTGTCAGCTAGCTCAGCTGCTTGTCCATGCTGCTGGTCGCTTAGGCTGGCCACGTGTCCCTTTTCAACAGTATTACACTAGTGTTGGTAGGATTGCATGGGTGTGAGTGCGTGCCTATACTGTCATTACGTGTTTTCGATTTGACCTTGATTTGTCTTGACCTATTGTGTCTTGACCTTCATCTATCTTGACCTTCATTTGTCTCATTAATTTTTCATTCTTATTTATTTTCATTCTTATTTATTTTCATTCTTATTCATTAATTTTTATTTATTTTTCAAATTTTTCACAGCTTTTCCACAGCTTTGACAAAAATTTTTTTTTTTGACTTTCTGTCTGATCTTGTGCATTGGCTGCCCGTGCGTTTGAACTTTCCCCTGCCTGGTTATTCTGGCCGTGTCGATTTTCTGGCTGCTGCAGTGCGTGGATGCTGGATTTGTTTCTCCTTTGTGGGTCAGGTCTGGTAAGTTCGCGCTGTTTGTGGCCATACTTCTGCACGTGCTTGGGCCCGGTGGTGGATTTTCTTCTTGCGTGGTGTGGCCCTTAGCATTAGGGTTAGTACTACAGTGTCATCCTTGTTTTTCAAATTTAATTATCCGATGAATAACTCGACTCTAAGCTTTGACCATTAAATAAATTTTTTCTATACTAATCTCCATACTTTTTCCTTTTTCTAAAGATGAATCAAGATAGATCCAAGTTAACGGCGGCTAAGCCTAAAAGAAGTCCAAAGGGGCCTCCCTTGGTTACTTCTAATGTCCTCTTGTGTGCCGGAAGTTCCAAGCCCACTTCACTTTCACCATCTCCAAAGAAGGACACTAGTAAACATGAACCTTCTAGTTCTACTCCAAAGAAGGTTTTTCACCCAGTTATTAATTCCACAACCGTGGTTCGGCGTTCAGGTGATCTCCATATTCCCGTCAAGCCCTATAATCCATCTGTGGAGGAGGCGGCAAACCTGGGTAGCAACACGGCATCGATTTATAAGCGTGCCAATGCACCCCATACTTCGCCAAAAACACGACGCGTCCGTTCCAGTGCTGCTGTGCGACGTACCTCTGCCTCGGCAAGGGCCGCTCAGCACGACACTCAAAGGCGCGATGCCCAGGATCAAACCAGGCCAGACCTCATTGAATTGGAAAGTGACGAGGGAGACCTTGACAGTGACTCGTCCCATATGGAAGGCTCGAGTGCTCCTCCTACTACACCACCAAACCAGCATACTTCTATACAAAATGAAGTTGCGGAGCCTACTCCCTCACAGTCCGACTTGGAGAACCAGGGTAAGCCAAATTTTGCTCTTATTTTCTCTGGAAAGCCCCCACCCATTCAGGTAGAATGCGATGATGCCTCAATATTGCTCACTTCCTTATCAAATGTGGTATTGCCGACCATGTTTCTTTTAAAAATGGGCACTTTGGGCAATGTTTGGGTGCACTCCAAGGCTCCTGACGAATACAGGAAAATTATTCATTTTCTTGATGCTAATGATTTTCGGTATCACACCCATCAGCCAAAAGAACTCAGGCCCCTTCGTGTGTACGTCAGAGGCTTACCGCGTGCTACCCCTCCTAAACATATAATTGACTCGTTAACTGATCAGGGTTTTGATATAGTGAGTGTTCACAACCCTACCTTTGTTGACAAACGCAAACCTGATCAGGCTGTGAAATTCTCTCCAAATGCGTTTTTTGTTAATCTCCTTAACACTCCCAAAAACGAGAGAATTTTCCAAATCAAGAACATTGGTAACTATATTGTCCGTGTTGAGGCAACAAACAAAAACCTTGATATACCGCAGTGTAAGCGATGTCAACGCTTTGAACACACCGCAAAATTTTGCAAACATAATCCCAAGTGTGTTAAATGTGGGAATGACCACTTGTCAGCCACCTGCACAAAACACATTGATACACTTCCCACATGTGCTAATTGCAAAGGCTCTCATACAGCCAATTATTCTGGTTGCCCTATTTTAGCGGCACTAAAAGCCAGACGTAACAAATTCCATCAGCTTCCGGCTCGAACTCGTGCACTGCAACTTGCATCAGCTCCACTTAGACAGGCCGATTTTCCTCCTCCGCCCAATCCATCAAAGGCCAGGCAAAATATTGAAACAGCAGATGGATCTTTCAATACGGAATTTACCAATTTCGTTAAAAAAAACCCTACTCCACCAGCAGAAGGCAGCCTTAAAAAGCCGGTAGCGCAGCCTACAACATATGCCGACATGGTACGCTCCCTTAGTACCAAACATATTCTTGCGGATATTCCGTCCCAATGGCAAGGGGAAAAAATTCCAAGAATACTGGGAAAAACTGCAAATATCCCTTCAACTTCACAAACGGTACGCTCTCAGCAAATCCCCACAGCCTCAAACCAGAGAGACGGTCTCCAAACCGAGTCTCCTACTACAAACTTCTTAAATCTTCCTGAAAAAGAATTCAGAACTTACGTTTCGAACAGCTTTGATTACATGCAGTATCAAATTACCTGCTTTCAAAATCAGCTAAAGGCCTCCTTTGCCAGGATGGAGCAGCTGGTTCTCTCGCTTTCCAACCACAATGAATAACACAATCAGATTGTCAATTTGGAATTCAAACGGCATCCGCCGCAAGTTCCACGATATTGAACTTTTTCTTACAAGCAACAAGATTGACATCATGTTAATTTCGGAGATTAAACTCTCCTCTAACATTACAACTTCGATTCCTGGCTATGATCTTCTTTTCGCTTTTAACCAAAATACTCGGTCTGCTGCTGGTGGTTCGGCTATCATTATCTCTAATAAAATTCCTTATCAGCCTCTCCCTCCAATTTCGGAAGAGCACTCTCATATTTGCCGCATTGTAATAAATACTTACATCGGTTTTATCACTATTGCCTCTTGCTATTGGCCACCTAATCAATTGGTTTCACATTTGTTTTTCTCAACACTTTTTAACCAACTTGGCGACAAATTTTTCATTGGAGGCGACTGGAATGCCAAACACCGATTGTGGGGCAACTTTCGAAGCTGCCCGCGCGGCTCTGCTTTAGCTGACATTATTCTATCTTCTGAAAGATTAAATATTCTTTCTACAGCCGAGCCCACTCATTTTCCACGTAGTGGCGCTACACCGTCTGTATTGGATTTTGCTGTAACTCGAGATATTCCACATTCCTTAATGAGCATCAGTAGGCACTTTGATTTAACAAGTGATCACCTCCCACTCATTGCCACTTTAAAATTTGGATTGTCATCAATATCTCTCCCCCCAGATACTGATTTAACTGCAAACTCGAAACTTTTCACAAAAAATACCAATGTTAAAAACTTCAAAACTCTTCTCAATAATTGTATCCATTTAAACATGGACATCAATACAATTAATGACATAGAGGATGCAATTAACATTTTTACAGCAAAAATTCGTTCTTGTGCCATCGCAGCCACACCGACTTATAGCCCGTTCCCTTCTCATCAAATATTTTATCGGCCTCCTTTAAAAGCCGAAGCCCTCGAGCTGGCTCGCCTAAAACGTCAATTGAGAAAACTTTATATTCGCTCTCGATCTCCAGTTCACAAATCGGATTGGCTATTTGTTTCACGCATACTTTCCAACTTCCTTAGACGAATTCGAGCGGATCACTTTAATTTTATTTTACAAAACGCCGATCCGTCCAAAAAAGGTGGTTTTAACCTGTGGCGCGCCACTAAACACCTTAAAACACAGCCTCATATGGTCGCTCCTATTAAGGATGCCGCTGGCAATTGGTGCACTGCGCCCTTGGAAGTTGCCGAGGCTTTTGCTAACGAATTGGAAGCTCGCTTCACTCCATTAGATTTTGCCTCTAGTGCGCAAACAGAACATGTATTAAATACAATCGATGATAACTCTGCTGTAACTGCATCACCCGTTCCCATCCGTCATGTCAGTCCGTCTGAATTAACAAATCACATAGCAAGTTTAAAGATCAAAAAAGCCCCCGGCTTAGATAATATTACTAACCAAATTTTACGTTGCCTGCCTCAAAGGGCTATCATGTTTTTAGTTAAACTCTTTAACGTCATGCTGAGGCTGCGATATTTTCCATCATGCTGGAAATGCGCAGCTGTTACCATGATACCCAAGTCTGGTCGTTCCCTAAGTCAATTAAAAGACTATAGACCTATTAGTTTACTACCCGCTCTTTCCAAACTATTCGAAATTGTCATGTCCGTCCGATTATACGATATTCTTGATTTTAGTAATACTATACCTGATCACCAGTTTGGCTTCCGTAAGGAGCATAGTACTATCCAGCAAGTACATCGCATTGTGAATCATGTTCATTGTACTTTTGACCGTTACCAATATACCTCGGCTGTTTTTCTTGATATTGAACAGGCATTCGATCGTGTGTGGCATAACGGCCTTCTATTTAAACTAAAAGCGATATTGCCCCAATCATTATACGAGCTTTTCGTTTCCTATTTATCAAATCGCTCCTTCTGTGTTAAAGAGAGGGGTAGCTTTTCATCTGTACGTCAAATTCGAGCCGGTGTCCCGCAGGGAAGCATCCTCGCACCTACCCTCTATAATGTCTTTGTTAGTGACATGCCAACTCCGCAACTTCCTAGACTTTGTCGTAGTAGATCACTCATTGCCACATATGCGGATGATACTGCAATATTATTCAGCGACGCTAATGCTTCTGTATGCGTCAGTCTAATGAATAATTTCCTCGTCACCTTTTCCAACTGGGCAAGATCTTGGAATATCAAGATAAACTGTAGGAAATCATCCCACATGCACTTTACATGGCGGAATCTCCGTATGTCCGACGTAAGATTAGATAATGTAGTCATACCATTGAAATCATCAGTCGTATATCTGGGCTTAAAACTAGATAGAAAACTATTATGGAACAGTCATATTGGTACTATTAGATCGTCACTTATAACTAAAGTACGTAAATATAATTGGCTTCTAAACTCACGTTCTCGCCTCAGCATTCGAAATAAATTGCTTATTTATAATCAGATTATTGCGCCATCATACAAATATGGAATTGAACTATGGGGCTGTGCCGCAGATGTTCATATTAGAAAAATTCAAATTATACAAAATTCTACTTTACGTCGCTGTACAAACGCTACTCCATTCGTGAGAAACTCCGATATTCACAATGCTTTTAACATTGCTACGGTTTGGGATCAAATTAATCTCCATGCGAGCAGATATAAGGAAAAAATTCGTACGCATGAAAATGTCCTCGTTCGGGGATTACTTTCTTTAGCACCTGGTAATGGTCCACCAAATCGCTATCGACCTAAGAATTTATCAGACAGAGTCCCTCCACCCAATGTTTTCCAATAAATTCTCTATATCAGTCATTTCCTATTATATTTATACTCTTATTATGCATTAAGCATACATATATGGTATAATTACATCTATACGTTTATTTAATTACATGAAATTTTATAATTTCATTTTTCTACACTTTCGGTGTATAAATCTGATAATACTTTCTTATTATTTTTCATAGTTACTTTCATCACAATTAATATATTATACTTTACTTATCTGTCCACCTGACCACTACTAAAACTAAACAGCCACTACATAAAGTAGGCTATTCTTAGTAGTATACATGCTGCACTGCAATACTGCGCTCAATGGGTTCTGCATACGTACTACACACACATCTTTACATTACGCATACGAAGCACTTTTCTGATATACACGCCTTAGAGCTTTTAACATATGTTTGCTTTATTATTCACACTGCGTATATGAGGCGCATTACTGACCTATCCCACTTTTCTAGCTTCAATTCACGCTCGCCTAGGTCATTCACCTATTTACACGCTTGCTGGAACTCTTATACTAAAATGCTCTCCGTTTATTCTCTCACGAGTGTCTTATTTCTGTCTCCCTTATTTAAAGTACTGTCGTTCTTTTCACACGCTTACAAGTCAGAGCTTTCATTTCCCCTTTTTTCATCGCGGGCAACTTTTTATTGTAATATTTTTATTGCAACTCTCTGCAGCTACTAAATAAATTATACAAATACAACTCTAATTAATTAATTTTTTCATCTCATGTAGTATTTCCTTTATCAACTCGATTTTTTCTACATCTAAAGTAAACTCAGAATTTTTCAAATTTACCGCCAACCTTCTTCTTCGCTCTGAAATACGGTGTGTTGACATTCTTTTCGCTCCTATGTTCTTACGCATTGTCTACGTTGTTCTGTCTCGTGTGGAGTGCCGGTGTATACCACGGCAACACTACATCAGTAATTTAAATTCTGATAAACTTTGTATACTTATACGCCGAATTATTGTGGATTAGATTCGCCGACTGCATGGTAACTGTGCACATCATGTCTCAGTCGCGAACTTGTCCAACAATTATTTTGTATTTATTACAGAACTTCGATTTTGCCAGTATGTTTTTTCCCTATCTTAAACTTCTGTCGCCTGATCTTGTCTGCTGGCCAGTTTGGTTCTGTGCGGCATGTATTTGTATAAAAATTTGTTATGTTACCTACATTTTAGTATGTTTAACATAACATTGTTAAACTTCCTATAGTCAATTGAGCAACCTGCAATCCTTGATTATTTAATTTTATTATTCATACCAAAATTATTTACCTTGCATCTAAATTTCACTAAATCACATAGTATGCTTCGAAAAATTTCTTTTCATAGCCTTGTACTATGTCTTCGATTCATGTTGCTCCTTGATCTAATGGAGGTTTTTCGTGCTTGGAGGGACCCAGACCCGTGTATGGTGTGAATTTTTTACTCTATACAGTTGGATTCTGGGCCCTTCTTCGCCCCTCTACCATCTATGGGCGTTTATGCCGACTGGTGCTCTGATATGCTGCCTCGAGCAGCGATATAAATGAGCGCTTCTTGGCCATGGTCGCTCAAAACTCTTCTATTTCCTGGGTCTATAATTCTTCTTTATCACTATGAATAACCTATATACTCTCTTTTCTTTATCTATTCTTTATAATATTTTTCTCTTTTTGTCAAAGAGTAACCTATCAGTATGAGCGAAGTGTTTTAAGCCCCGCTCTAATAAATTAATTCTGCTCAATTTGAGTGTGTCTTTCGAGCTTTATGTTAATGAGCTTTATTTTTAACGGCAGTTTTCCACTGGTACACCCAGAATCCAGTTTTAATAGCCTATGTTTTCTGTCTCAACCCTCAGTCGGGTTATTCATACTAGACACGAATGTGCTTTTCGCTGCGCTTAAACAAATTTTTATAATCTCAATTAAAGAAAATCTTAACAGAAAGTACTCTGTCGTATTGCTTCTATAGTGCCGTGTTTTCTTCTCCAAGTGTCCTTGCGCGCCTGGTGTCATCCTGTTGCTGTGGGGGCCGTGTCTCCTGTTTGGTCGCGGCGGCTGGAGGTGTCAGCTAGCTCAGCTGCTTGTCCATGCTACTGGTCGCTTAGGTTGGCCACGTGTCCCTCTTCAGCGGTGTCACACCTGGCGTCTGCGGGACTGCCTGGTTTTGTGCGGGTGTGCGGTTGCTACACTGACCCACACCTCTCCAGTTAATTTGGTAACGTGCCTTTCTTCTCTACTAACCAAATACTAATTATTCCGACTTCTCAGCCTTGAAATAACTTTCGCTGCGTATTACCTGTGATGATATACTGCGCTCTTCACCATGGATCTGTCTGCCGCTATGTGTCCCCACACCAATTTTTGGATTCATATCGAATGATGGCTAAATGGCCATTACTCATGCTGCTTCTGGACGCAACGTGTGACCCAGATTGTACACATTACTGTCATCTTGTCTGCAGTTTGGAAATCATCTTGGTGACCTGTTCCAATCACCTATTTTGTTATATGGCAGGGCTGCTGTCTTCCTGTTGGATGTTGCTGCAACGCGGGACAAATATAGATTTATTGCGGATATATTTATCCCAACGATACTTCTCAAACGCCTTGATGCAGGAAATTCGGACCCAACCTCGCTACAAATAGACAAACATTTATACAGTAAATATTACAAATTACTTAAATCAATCATCCATAACCATACACAACATTCATAACTGCATTTAAATACCGCAATACATAATAACTAATTCATTTTTCATACAAGTATATCATCGGCTATATAACCTTTTTATTTTCACCACATAATCAAAACATAAACAAAATATATTGGCTTTTAAATTCACATACAAATTAATTCACCTAATTTTTAATCTTATCACAATAATCATCTGCCTGGAGCCCGGATCTCTCATCCCTGCAACCAATGTTCGCAAAATTATGGACACACGCGACCTCGGAAGGGACGCCCATACTCCTTACACTTGGTGTTACATCCTCCTCCATTAATTCCTGACGTTCGCAAATTTATTAACGCATCATGGTCTGGACAATTCGTCGACATTTCTGCTTCTCGTTAGTTAAAAAAAAAAAAACCTACAAAGTAAATATTAATTTGCTTATAAATTACTTACACTATTTTACATACTATAATTAATATCATATTACCTTATACAACTTTACATTTAAACTCATACATTTATACAATCAAAACGCATATTTACAAAATCTCATCACGTAATAGAAACACACATTTACACAACTCATCACATTTACACAATGCATCACTTCATAAAATACAAACCACAATAACTAACTTAAACCAACACTCTGTAATTGATAAACCAGTCACACATTTAATAACTATTTATATCTCCCGCTAAAACCTACAAAGCAAACATAAATTTGCTCATAAATTATTTACATTAATACACATACCATAATTAATACTATATTATTTCACACAATTCTACAATTTAAAATTTATACACCTAATTAAATCGTATACTTACATAACTTCATAGAAACACACATTTACACAACTCATCACATTTACACAATGCATCACTTCATAAAATACAAACCACAATAACTAACTTAAACCAACACCCTGTAATTGATAAACCAGTCACACATTTAATAACTATTTATATCTCCTGCTAAAACCTACAAAGCAAACATAAATTTGCTTATAAATTATTTACATTAATACACATACCATAATTAATACTATATTATTTCACACAATTCTACAATTTAAAATTTATACACCTAATTAAATCGTATATTTACATAACTTCATCACTCAATGGAAACGCATATTTACACAAGTCCACATTTTATAAATTTGAAACCACAAAAAATTAACTTAAAACAAAACACACTATAATTTACAAACTAGTCACCAATTTAATTACTTATTTACATTCCCCGAAAAAATTTACAAAGCAATTATAATTTTGCCTATAAAATCTACATACTATAATAAACACTATATCATCTCCACACAACTTCACAATTAATTACATGCATCTAATCAAAACACACATTAAATAAAATTCCATCATCGAATAAAAAATTACACACACTTAACGAAATCACACATCTACACATTTCTTCATTTCATAAATTTAAATACCACAATAACTAACTCATAATAATCGCATTTCATTTAATAAACTTGTCAAGCCAATATAATAATAATAATCTTTAGTTCCATAATTCATTATAACAATAGCCCATAATACCATAAAACAAGCCTTATAAATATTATAAAAATACAACAAAATTCCTTAATAACGCACATCATAAATCAATCATTAATCCATAAATTTTTCAAACCACTTAAAGTAAACAATAATATAAATAATTCATTTATACGCACATCATTTTGTTAATCCTGTCGCACTGGGTCCTGGACTCCTACCCTACACACACATCATTCCGTCTACACACACTTCTCTGCACACATTGCTACACTCATGCCGATTCACACCTTATAATATACTCATCATCAAACAGCACACTCTACCACAAATCACACATCTCTATTGTTTCTTTGGATTTATCCTCGATATAACTAAACACTAATTAGTTCTTCATTTTACTTCCCCAAACTTTTATAATGGACTAACCGGCGGCTTCTCACAAGGTCGTTACTACTGGCACAACATCCTCGGACTTGGACATCATTCAGCCTCGGAACATCTGCAGCACCAACTTAGAATCTACTTTAATTTATAAACACTGTTCCATTGTCATATTCTATAAGCCCACATTTATTGTTACCAGCAACACATACATACATATTATTTTGTTAAACTTACACCTCACATTTAAAAAGCCTGAGCTACACGCATTTCAAAATATTGTCTTATATAATTTTCAAAATGAAACAATTTAAATTTTCTTTTCATCTCAATGTAATAGCTTTTATTTTTTACTTTATAAACTACATTTACTATTCTTAAGTCCAAAATTTTGTCTTAAATATTTTGTTAAAATTCTTTAAAAATATCACATTTGCCTATCACACTAATTTTAAATATTGCACATCATATCACACAAAGTTAATTATTTTTTATATACCTTTTATACCACTATATGTACAACATTCACAATTTAACTTGCATTTGCTTATCACATTATATTGCACACCATATCACATAAACTTAATTATATATATACTATATTATACTACTATTGCACAACATTCATAAATCTAACATGTACTGCTTATCACATAGTAATCATATATTGCACACTGTATCATTTAAATTTAACTACATTTATACTATACTATTATGCAACTATGTACAACACTCACAAATTTAACCTACCATTTGGTGCCCCCAAGAGGGAAGGGGTACCTAATCATCACTGCTTCGGATTCTCCCCGCATTCCCTCCACTCTTTTAAAAGGGAAGGATTAAGACAAATTTAAATGTCGCTGCCTCCTATCACTGCACACTCTTGGCTGAAATTGGGATTAGTATTTAATTTTAGATTAAGTTTGTTGTACCCATTTCTCGGCCTTGTGCGCCATAATAAACGAAAAAAAAAAAAAAAAAAAAAAGTGCGTTCGTTCGAGAGAATCGACAACAAACAATTTACATTGTTTTTCGGCCGGCACAATGCCTTACAGTGGGAGTCTATTTCGCTGCCCACGTTTGTGCCCTTGCTGCTGGGAAAAAACCAATCTACACACTCAAAATGCCTCTATTCGAGCGCTTAATATTTTTTAAAATTGTACAAACATTAAATAAATTCGTAAACAAAATTTAAAATTGTTAAAAAGTGTCACAACTTTAATTTACAATTACACCGCCAGTCAAAATGGGACTCGGTCCCTTTGTGCCTATAAACATTAATAAAACAATGTTTAAAAATCTGCTGATTTATTTCGGCCGCTACCATCATACTTTGAAATAAATAATTTCTTAAAATACATTCGTGTTAATAATATATACTCGGTGCATTTGTCCACAGTTAACATCATATGTGCCTGCAGTTTCGCTTATACATTTTCGTTTTTATTATTCGTTGCCTATCATTTAGGCGCATGTACCAAAGCCTTTGCTGCTTTGTTGCTATATTGCACTTCAGCCCTCCCCTTCGGCTCCAACCGGAGCTAGTATACAAAAGCTTTAAGCTTTTGCTTAAGCTGCCTTTGCCATTGGCATATGCTTAATAATACACTGTCTTCACAACCGCTGTCCATTGCTGGTCGCGTCGGCTATTTGGTTTAAAAATTTTCATTATCAAAACGAGTAAACTTTACTCCACGCGTTTCACATGGATTCATTCGCTATAATATTTTTCTTCGATTCCGGCTAATATGCAATACTTTAAATTGCTACAAGTGCGGTGCCGGGGAAAGATATGCCAATAAAAAATCACATTATTCTGGGCTCGACCATGCCTCAATTAATAAACTAACACAAAACTACAAACAGTGCTAAAATCATAAATTAATTTAATTAAAACCTATACAAAGAATACAAACACTTTTAAAATCATAAATATATTCAATAAATAGCTGCTAAAACAATGTAATACAGTGTCAAAATTGCAATATGCATACAATAAAATCAAATATACCATGTACAGTCCGTCCGTTTGTGCACAATTACAATAACAAAACACTGATAAAAAAGCCGCTACATAATTTCGGCCTTCATTCGTCATACACTGAAAATAAAAATTTCATTAAAATTTCATATGTGCGAGTGGTATATTCGGTTAATTTTCGCTTTGCGCATGTGCCTACTGATTAGAAGCATGCGCCAAAGCTTCTTCTGTTTTTCTCACTTCATCTGGAGACACTATATAAAAGCTTTAAGCTTTTGTTTAAGCTGCTGCTGCCTCCGGCAAATGCACATAATACATTGTCATCTTAGCCATCGTCGAATGCTTGTCGCGTCGGCTACACGGTTTTAAATTCGATATCCAAATGAGTATACACTCCACGTGTCAATTTTGAATTAAATTTCTTTACAAATTCTTTCTTGTGCTTGCCAATATGCAAATTAAATGTTGCTAAAAAGTGCGTTCGTTCGAGAGAATCGACAACAAACAATTTACATTGTTTTTCGGCCGGCACAATGCCTTACAGTGGGAGTCTATTTCGCTGCCCACGTTTGTGCCCTTGCTGCTGGGAAAAAACCAATCTACACACTCAAAATGCCTCTATTCGAGCGCTTAATATTTTTTAAAATTGTACAAACATTAAATAAATTCGTAAACAAAATTTAAAATTGTTAAAAAGTGTCACAACTTTAATTTACAATTACACCGCCAGTCAAAATGGGACTCGGTCCCTTTGTGCCTATAAACATTAATAAAACAATGTTTAAAAATCTGCTGATTTATTTCGGCCGCTACCATCATACTTTGAAATAAATAATTTCTTAAAATACATTCGTGTTAATAATATATACTCGGTGCATTTGTCCACAGTTAACATCATATGTGCCTGCAGTTTCGCTTATACATTTTCGTTTTTATTATTCGTTGCCTATCATTTAGGCGCATGTACCAAAGCCTTTGCTGCTTTGTTGCTATATTGCACTTCAGCCCTCCCCTTCGGCTCCAACCGGAGCTAGTATACAAAAGCTTTAAGCTTTTGCTTAAGCTGCCTTTGCCATTGGCATATGCTTAATAATACACTGTCTTCACAACCGCTGTCCATTGCTGGTCGCGTCGGCTATTTGGTTTAAAAATTTTCATTATCAAAACGAGTAAACTTTACTCCACGCGTTTCACATGGATTCATTCGCTATAATATTTTTCTTCGATTCCGGCTAATATGCAATACTTTAAATTGCTACAAGTGCGGTGCCGGGGAAAGATATGCCAATAAAAAATCACATTATTCTGGGCTCGACCATGCCTCAATTAATAAACTTACACAAAACTACAAACAGTGCTAAAATCATAAATTAATTTAATTAAAACCTATACAAAGAATACAAACACTTTTAAAATCATAAATATATTCAATAAATAGCTGCTAAAACAATGTAATACAGTGTCAAAATTGCAATATGCATACAATAAAATCAAATATACCATGTACAGTCCGTCCGTTTGTGCACAATTACAATAACAAAACACTGATAAAAAAGCCGCTACATAATTTCGGCCTTCATTCGTCATACACTGAAAATAAAAATTTCATTAAAATTTCATATGTGCGAGTGGTATATTCGGTTAATTTTCGCTTTGCGCATGTGCCTACTGATTAGAAGCATGCGCCAAAGCTTCTTCTGTTTTTCTCACTTCATCTGGAGACACTATATAAAAGCTTTAAGCTTTTGTTTAAGCTGCTGCTGCCTCCGGCAAATGCACATAATACATCGTCAAAATCTTTAATAGAAACAATAATTAAAATCTTTATTAACAAATTAACATCTGTAGCCTACGTAGCTTGGAAATTCATTACAATTTTCGATTACTTACTAAAATTAGCTTTGAACTTTTCTCTCTATTCTTTCAGATATTAACTTCAAATTGCTCCTTCCCCTTATGGCTGCTCAGTCCGTACGATGACTGTGCACGTCCCGCGGCCTGAGCGGAATCCTAGACCCGGATCCTCTATGCCAATCTCTCCGTTCGCAGACTGGATTCGGGAGGCGAAGGAGGAATTTTTTCCTGGCGGGAGGGGCCCAGATCCGTGTATGGACATCTCTCCGTGAAGTACAGATGGATGCTTGGCTCCTCCTATGCCCGCCCAGCGTGCGTGGTCCTGGCTGACTCGTGCTCCTATATGCTGCACTGTTTTCAGCGATATAATTGAGCGCGCCTTGGTCAGGGCCATGTCAATTTTTAAACTTTTCAATTTAATTTATTTTCTGGGCTCTCTGTCTCTTTTCTCTCTTTTCTTCTCGCTATATCTTTTCTTTACTCCTAATTTCTGGAAATAGAATTTAAAATTATATAGTTACAATCAAAACAATTTATTAAAATCAGTCTAAAAAGAAAATATATTACATCTTAAATCAAACAAAGTAAAATTCCCATTAAAAATTTGCGTAAAGACAATTGCATTCAAAAAATTACATAAAATATCAATATACTTAAACAAAAGAGAAAAGATTCAATATTGCACAATTATCACAGAAAAAGAAAATAACACTCCCGACTTCTCAGGTACCCGAAGACCACCATCTAAAGCTCTACCATTCGTCGTCTCGAACGGTTCCTGCTCTTGGTATTTGATACTTTCACCAAAATAGTAATGGACTGGGGCGGCCACTGTTGCTGCCTCCCGCCAACTCACAAAGCCGCTTTAAATCGCAGTCGCAACAACACGAACCAACCGTTCAACATGCTAACCTGCCACACTTTATCATCGCTCGCATCTGGACTCCTACCTTTTTAAAATACAAACGCTGCTCATCATCATCCCGGTGGAACCTGGAATTCCTCCAACTTTAGTTAATATTGTACCTTTTAAGACATACTAAACGCTCTGCAACCTGAACATGTATTAAATTAACGTTTACGTTAACATTCAAAAAGGTCAATTAATGATGCAATTTTAAATTCAGATTTGATTCTCACTTGTTAAAATGTACAACTATTGTAAGAATACTAGCTCATATCTTGCCAAAACTTAAAATACTTTTCGATCTTCTCTGCATCAAACCATAACAAATTTAAAAACATATTAAACTCTACTAAAATATTCAGATGCCAATAACCAACAATTTAAAAATCGCAATTACACAGTTAATTAAATAACCGCTGAACTTTTACACATATAAACAGTAACTTTAAAATTCGATCAAATTACCAAACTTGGAAATGCCACTCACTACATTACATTATATATCACAAATCAACATCAA